CTTAATGCAGTCTTATACGAAGCGGAACGAGCCTATATTTCATTATAACCCCGCAGACTCCCTCCAGAGCCCTTCGCAAACCCTTTCCTATTCTTACTGACTATAAGCGGGCGCGGCAACCGGGATTTTGCTCCCCGAGATATGGTTTGCGACGTAGAAATCCGAGGGGAATGCCCGAGTATCGAAAAAAAAATCAAAAAAAAATTTTTGTGACTAAAGTGCCTCCCCTCTTAATGCTCTCCCTAATCTTTTTTCTATCTACCCAAAAAACTAATGCGACTCCCCTGTAAACGCGCTATCGAAATTATAGGGCACGAAATGTAGAAGGAAGTTCAACGATCAATAAAACGAGTTATTTCACATTTTCTCTCTCGACATGGAAATTCATTCAAACGTTAAAAAATACAATAAACTACTTTCATAAAAAAAAGAGAAACAAAACTAGCAAAAACAATTATTAACACAATATAATTATAACATTTTTTAAATTAATAATTAGAATAACTAAAATATTAACCCTATTCGTTATTGCTGCCACAAAACATTTTCCGAAACGCTCGTGCTTCGATTTATCTCACATTTTATATATACAAAGTTTTTGTAAATAAAAAAAAAAATTATAAATAAGATTTTTAGAAAAAGAAACCGGAAGCGAAAGTGTTTTTTTAAGCACATTTCTTATTTTCGATCAAATTTAATATCGATGAAAACAGCCGGAAAATTTACCTATCGTAGAGAGCAAGCGGATGCAAGAAGACAAGGAGGTTTAAACCTCCGAAGAGTAAAAAGGAAGTGTATTTACGACATTACAATACCCTATGGGCTAATCCTCGCCCAAAGCAGTACCCAGTTCGATCGACGTTTCTCCCTTCTTCACCGAACGCAATCACAACCTTCATTCAAGTATAGAGAGATCCAGCCGAAGTAAAGCCATTTCTCTTTCTTGCACAATCAGTGGGAATTAATACAAAAAGGTAGTAATAAGCACAAAAAGTAATAATAATCATGGTCGGCGTTCGATATTAAATGTAGAAATAATGACACAGAAATATTTAACATAATACATTGAACACAAAGTGTAATTTATGATTCAGTGATGTGACATAATGTCACATTGTCAGATTTTAAAAATTGGAAAAAAGTGTTTAAAAAACATTAGATTTTGTCACATTCTTCATTCTTATTTTTTTAACATAAGTTTGTGTCCCTTGAAAATAGTGACGTGACTTTTACAATTCGTGAAACTGCTCGATTACGAGCGCCTGACAAAATTTTTGACTGAGAATCACTGCCGTAAATATAGATATAGGGGTGAAAACAGGGTGCACGTTCCAAAGCCTTGGATCTGCGTATCCTCGCGCATTCATTCATAAAAATTCACTCAACCGCGTGGCTACGAGTGAATTGGAGGGTTCGTTTCAACCCCCCGATCAATGTGACACTGCTCGACAAAGTTAAAAGGTGCTATGCATCATCTTTTTAGGTTTTCTCGGAAGAACAAAATACTGCTAACGATATCTTGCAAAGAAGCACATTTCTGGCAGGCAGGCTATTGAGTGGTGAAATATACAAGAGACTTAAAAAAAAAAAACATGCGTATATTTTATCCACTCGTAACTTTGTAACACACTTATATAAAATGTATATAACACATACTTAATTTGAATAAAAGAAGCAAAGGCTCTGAATTTTTATTACTATAATCAAAGTGTGTACGCGTCTATTTTTTAAATATCTCGCATACAATTGTTGCAGTTACACTGTACGTCATTATTACATTAATAATCTAAACAGTTATCTCATAAAAATGTTATAACACAGAACAAGAGTTCCTCTTTAAGAAAAACGACTGCTCATAACCGTAATCGTAACCGTAACGATTATGAAACTTGAAACTCTGTAGGGATTTCGACATTAATATTTCCAGCGACTTCTCCGTGCAAAGACCTAGTGCCGTTAATAAAGAAATTTACCGACAGTTCCGAAATAACAGTCAGCCGTCGAATTCCCATAACTGAGACTCCTAGAAAGCAGTCTGATGAGGGTTTTAACGTTACTAGAGCCTCTACAGTCGAATGCATTAAGGCCAATTTTGACGATCTTTTGAGGGCAAACACTTTCTCTTTCTGTATTTATAAAAGTATTACTCAATATACTACTCCTAATCGATTTCCTACACATATACAGGGTGTCCCAGAATTGCCGTACAATCTCTCGTAGGCAGGTAGAAGGAGTAAAACTGAGTCGAAAAGTCCTGAACCATTTTTTTCTATTATTTATAATAAAAGAGTAATTATTGAGTAAATC